AAAAAATAAATCCTCCTGTATGTATATATACTCGAAAAAGTTATGCTAACACTTTTTTCATGCATTTAGGTAGACAATTTTATATGGGCAAACGTACGTTTACGAGATAAATGCCTAAAAGCAGGTATAACTAAAATAGCGCTCTCAGGGATTTCTGTTACAATACTTCTGTAAATTTCATGCTCCAAGTGTTCGAGCATTAGTATAGCGCTGAAGACAAATGCTCAGGATATAATACAAAAATGCATATTTACTTGATTTCACATAGTAATATTATCATTGTTAAAAGAGAACAAGTTTGTATTAGGTAATAATTAAATAATGCAACCTTATGTGCACGAGTGGAAAAACCAAAATAAATAATTATATTTGTATGTGTGTTTAAAAGAGTTGGATTATTTTGTGAGTGTAAGCAGTTTCAAAACCAAAGAGTAGTTGCAACATTAAAAAGTACCTGAAACACATTTTCATTTAACAACTAAAATAGCAAATATGAGCAAAATATGTACTTTCTTCAGTTTTCTTCTGTTGCCAACTTTCTGAAAAACGTGAATTCACCGCGATGCGATACAGAAACAAAAAGACAGCGACAGCGCGCAGAGGGTTTTGAGCAATAATATAAATTTGTATCAAACAACGCATTAAATAGTCATTTTAGTATACTTTTGCTGTTTACTTATTAAAGTAAATGCATGTATTAATTTTTCTTTAAGAAATTTCTCTAAAATTTGCAACTTTTTTTTATGATTTCTAAAGATTACTTTATTTTTGCCAAAGAGCAACCTTGCGTAAAGAAAATTGTGTTGTACTTAAAACTTCACCACTATAAACTTGGTCCTTATAAAGGACTTTCACCACAGTTTGTTTACTGGATATACTGAGGTCAACATAATCAGCTGTATCAAAACCATTTGGTGAGTGGTCAAAAATTTTAAAGTGTGTTTTTCATTGTTGTTTTTTTTTTTGGGAAAAAATTTATAAAAATAAAATATATTGTGCGTAAAATTTTAATAATCAGTGAAAATAAAAAAACGGTGGTTTCGTTGTTGTTGTTAGCGATTGTAATGCACATTGTAAGTTTTTCATGTTTTTTTGCTTAAATTCATTACTTTTCAATTATTTTGTTTTAACTTATTTGAAATCAACTTATGCGGCCAAAAGAATTAGAAATTTAATTTCAACAATAGAAAAAAGAAAATTATATTACTTATATTTTCATCGCTTTATTTTAGAAATGCCACGCCCGCGAAGAAATGATATTGGTCGTCGGTCGCGTAGAACGCAAAATAGATCAAATGAAAGGCAAAATCAATCACAAGAAGAGCGAGAAATTCAAAACCAAAATCAAAGGGAACGTATGTCCAGATCACGTTCAGGCCATTCACCTGAAGAACGTATACAACGTAATGAGCACGATAGATTAAGAATGCAAGCGCATCGTGCAGCAAGAAATGTTAATGAAAATGCACAAAGACGACAACAAGCAGCACGAATCAATGTTAATATTGATTTGAACGGTGCTGGATTTCAATATAACAATGCCATTGATTATAGTTTGCATAAATTTGTGGTTATTGGCGCAATGGACAAAATATGTCAATATTGTAATGCAGTGAAATTTAAAACTGAACCTCCTGGAATGTGTTGTACTTCTGGGAAAGTACGACTACCAGAATTACAATATCCACCAGAACCATTAGCTTCACTGCTTTCTGGCTCAACACCTCAATCAAATCATTTTTTGGATCACATTCAAATGTACAATCCATGTTTTCAAATGACGTCTTTTGGTGCGACGAATATAATAAGAGATAATTTTATGCCGACCTTCAAGGTAATTTCGGCATCAAGCATTTCAAATGAAAATTTTGAAATAGACAATCTATCATCTGAATATTTTGGCTCTACATTACAGATACAAGGGCAAATTTACCACAAAATCGGTTCCTTGCTGCCATTCCCAGATGCTAACTATCAATTTTTGCAAATTTATTTCCTTGGCAATAATCAAAATGAAGTCGATACACGTTGTGCATTTTTTAAAAGTGCCAGAAGATTGATAATTGAAGAATTGCAAGCAATATTTCATGAACATAACGAATTGGTTACTACGTTTAAGACAGCACTTGATCAAATGCAATCTGATGATCATAAAATTGTGATTAGAGCTGACAGAAGACCGATCGGTGAACACGAACGAAGATTTAATGCACCGCTTAATAATGAAATTGCTATTGTGATTGTTGGTGAAGAATTTCAATCACGTGATATTGTATTGCGCCGAAGAAATAATCAATTACAACGTGTATGCGAAACGCATCGCTGTTATGACGCACTACAATATCCAATTTTATTTTGTCGAGGCGAAGATGGATACTCTGTCAATATAAAAATGGTTGATCCAGCAAATCCGCGTGAGTTTTTGGATTAATGATGATTTTCAATAATTTTCTGTGTCATGTTTTATCATTCTATTTGCTTTGCTTTTTTTTCAGAACGTGAAGTAAATAAAAACGTAAGCGCCATGAACTATTATGCATATAGAATTATGATACGACAAAACCAGGAAAATCATATTTTGAAAGCCCGAAAACTATTTCATCAATATATCGTAGATATGTATGCAAAGATAGAAACAGAACGTTTGAATTTCATTCGATTTAATCAAAGGAAGTTGCGCTCAGAAGAGTATATCCATCTCAGAGATGCGATCAATAATGACAGAAATGTAAACAATATTGGACAAATGGTAATTTTACCATCGACCTACACAGGGAGCCCCCGTCATATGCATGAGTACGCACAAGATGCCATATGTTATGTTCGTTGTTATGGTCGGCCTGATTTATTTATAACATTCACGTGCAATCCAAAATGGGAAGAAATTAAGAAATATTTGTATCCCGGACAATCTTCTACTGATCGCCATGATATCACTGCAAGAATATTTCGACAAAAACTCAAGTCACTTATGGATTTTATTGTCAAATATAAAGTTTACGGAGAAGTTAGATGCTGGATGTACTCTGTCGAGTGGCAAAAGAGAGGTTTGCCACACGCGCATATTTTAATATGGTTAGTGGACAAAATTACAACTGATCAAATAGATGATGTAATCTCAGCTGATATTCCAGATCAGACAATTGATCCAGATTTATTTGATGTTGTCACTAAAAATATGATACATGGCCCGTGTGGTGTGATAAATGTCAATTCACCATGTATGCAAGATGGCAAATGTACGAAACGATACCCTAGAGCACTCATTTCTGAAACAATTACTGGAAATGATGGATACCCTCTATATCGTCGACGTTCAACACAGGATAACGGCAAATCAATAACTTTACAAGTGAATCGTCAAGATTTTGAAATTGATAATAGATGGGTAATTCCCTATTCGCCATTGCTATCGAAAGCGTACAAAGCTCATATCAATGTAGAATATTGTAATTCGGTCAAATCGATTAAATACATTTGCAAGTATATTAACAAAGGCAGTGACATGGCTGTTTTTGGAGTTGCAGAGAACCGAAATGATGAAATAACTCAATACCAAATGGGCAGGTACATTAGTAGTAACGAGGCAGTTTGGCGAATTTTGTCTTTCCCCATTCATGACCGTAGTCCAGCTGTTATTCATTTAGCAGTTCATTTGGAAAATGGATAGCGTGTGTATTTCACTGTTGATAATGCTCAGGCAATTGTAGAGCGACCGCCATCAACCACATTAATTTCTTTTTTTAAATTATGTGAAAGAGATCAATTTGCTAAAACACTGCTTTATGCACAAGTACCAACATATTACACATGGAATGTAAGTTCAAAGACATGGGAAAGACGTAAAAGAGGAAAACCTGTAGATGGTTATCCTGGTGTTTTTGAAAGTGACGCCATAGGACGACTTTATACAGTGCATCCTAGCCAGGCTGAATGTTTTTATTTACGTCTTTTATTAATTAATGTTCGTGGACCAACGTCTTTTTTGAATTTGAAAAGAGTTAATGGGCGCCTCTGTCAAACTTACCGGCGAGCATGTGAAGAATTGCATCTACTTGAAGATGATAATCATTGGGATGCAACACTTGCAGATGCATCCGCAACAGGTACACCGCATCAAATACGGACATTATTTTCAATTATTGTTGCAACATGTTTTCCATCTGATCCATTGCAACTGTGGCAAAGTTATCGTGATTATATGACCGAAGATATCTTGAATAGAATGCGTCGTATTTCTGCAAATCAGGAATTACTCATTACACTGGAAATGTATAACGAGGCATTGATTATTATTGAAGATATGTGCTTAGCAGTTGCAAATAAATTATTGTCACAATTAGGTTTACCACCTCCTAATCGAGCAATGCATGACGTATTTAATCAAGATATACAACGTGAACAACAATACGATATAAATGATCTTAACACATTTATAAATTTGAATCTGCCGAAATTGAATATAGAACAAAAACATGCATATGACACTATAATGCAAGCTATACAAAACAAAAGTGGAGGAATGTTTTTTTTAGATGCGCCAGGTGGCACCGGTAAAATGTTTTTGATTTCGTTGTTATTAGCGACTGTAAGATCACAAAACAATATAGCATTAGCGCTTGCATCGTCTGGAATAGCTGCTACATTATTAGATGGTGGCCGTACAGCGCATTCCGCACTTAAATTACCATTGAATATGCAAATTAATGAAAATCCAACATGTAACATTTCAAAAAATTCTGGAATGGGAAGAGTTTTGCAACAATTCAAATTAATTGTGTGGGATGAATGTACAATGGCACATAAAAAAATCAGTGGAAGCATTGGATAGAACTTTGAAAGATTTACGTAATAATCAAGAAATATTTGGTGGCGCTTTAATATTATTGTCTGGTGATTTTCGTCAAACTTTGCCAGTAATTCCCCGTTCAACACCAGGAGATGAATTAAAAGCATGTTTAAAGACATCCCATTTATGGAGGCACGTAAAAACTTTGACTTTGAAAACAAATCTGCGAGTTTATTTGCAAAATTATGCATCGGCTTACGAATTTTCAAGACAACTTCTGAAGATAGGAAATGGACAAATTCCT